GTATGCCGTGTCTGTTTGACGTAGCAACATATAAAATTTACTGTTGATAGAGAGAGAGAGAAGCACGCGTAACCGTTGCACGTACACGGTGGTAAGTTTTCATTTACATGGCACTCTCATAAGTTTGATCGGGTGAGCTGACACGTTAACGTACGGGTGAGCCACGCGCGACGGTTACGCGTGCTTCTCTCTCTCACTATCAACAGTAAATTTTATATGTTGCTACGTCAAACAGACACGGCATACGTACACGTCGGTGAGGGTGGGCACCTTTAGGTAGTATATAAGCAGCAACAAGATAAACGCTATTAGAACGATATCTTATTCGAACGCAGAGGAATTCAACTTCATCGGTGTCAGTGAACTCAATTTCTTCAGAAGAAAGGTCAGTCTGAACAGCTATTATGACGCCTCCACCTTTTTAACCGACTTCCAGAAAAGGAGGAGGTTATCAGTTCGTCGGAATCTTTGTTTTTTTTNCAGAGGAATTCAACTTCATCGGTGTCAGTGAACTCAATTTCTTCAGAAGAAAGGTCAGTCTGGACAGCTATTAAGACGCCTCCACCTTTTTTATTTAAACGGTCGTTTCGAAACACTTCATACTTAGGACACAAAATTTCGGAGTTGAACACATTCGGCTTGAGCCAGGTTTCAGTAAACACCAGTACTTTGAAGTCAAAATCATGGGACTGCAAGTGTAACCTTGATAGCTTTGTGTTCAAACCTCTCAGATTTTGGTATTAAATGCTAATGGTGAAGTTACTTATTAGTTTTTTGATGCCGAGGTGGACGGCGGAAGTTGATCCAAATTTTGCCATTGCGGTCTAGATCTAAATTCAAATTCGCGAATGAAGGCACCGCTTGGCCAAAAAGATGGGCTCATTACTCTATCAAAGCAGTCTTCGGATATGTCTATTTTAAAAGAAGAAATGCTTCTTTCATACGAGAATCTGAACTTGCGTACATGCAACTCATTTGCTATCAGCCTGGAAGTTAAATACCCCTTCACATCATCGACAGTGGTATCTTTTGAAAACCTATATACAAAGACCGATTTTTTGGAAGGGACAACGATTAAATCCCTCGGGATGGGGTTAACGTAATCGGAAACGGTCTCAGATGTGGTAGGGGGTTGCGGTACAGCTGTCAAATCCTTGGAAGGAGCATCGATGGCTCCGGATGTGGTAGGGGGTTGAGATGTAGTTGTGGAGTTTTTGGAAGGAGCAACGACTACTTGCATCGGAGCGGTGTTGACGCAATCGCAGACGGCTTCAGATGTGGTAGAGGGTTGAGATGAAGCTGTTGAACAGGAATTTAGTGAGACTCCAGTAGTAGAAGGACGTGGTTGGGGAGATTCAGTCCGCTGAGGAATCGGTGTTAAAACTTATGAGTTCTTTGTTCATAGCTGGAGTCAAAAGTGGGCGGTTCTGCGGAAGATCAAGGTCCGCAGTGATGGGATTCAACACAATATTTTCCACGCCTCTCCTACGTCTTTTAAGACCTTTTCCAGGAGAAGGAGAGGAGGAAGTATCTAATAATTTAAATTCTTTGAATTCATCCTCATACTTCTTGAACTTCTCGTTGAGAAGTTTTAGCTCTTTGCTTATCTCCGAAAATCCATTTATAGCGGTTCTAAATAGTTTACAGAGATCCACAACAGTTTTTTTACACTTTGGACATGACCAGCGAAGTCCATTGTCTCCAATAATCATATCCAGAACTCTCCCATTAATACCAGCACACTTTAAATGAGACAGTTCATCGCAAAGCCAGCACGCCACAAAACGGTCCGAACCGGCTTTTACATTACATTTTTCGAACAGACAGGACATTTTTAGCGAATTTTATTAAAAAAGAATAAAAATAGCGAAATTAGGAATGTATTGTACGAAAACGTTTCAAGCTCACAGTAATTGGCAGTTTAATAGCTAGTGGTCTTATTTAGTGAAGTTCAA